CGTTTTAGAAATTGAAGACTAAAAGTCTTGACTCAGAGTAAAGAACCATGCGTTGCTGCCACACTTTACATATTACGGCCTGGCTCATGTTTACATTTCCTACAACACCAGAAAAATACAGCAGGAACAGACAAAATGAAAGTAAAGCGTTACTAGTCGAACACTCGAAACAGGCTCCTATCACGCTGCAAGTTTTTTGCCATGCATATCGCTCACGGTCTCATACCCCTGCAGTCGCTGTGCGCTTTCTAGTATATTTATGCTCTTACATGCTAACTGACATGGCAAAGCATCCAATTATTATTGCCAAGTTAAAAGCATATACCAGAAGAAACACAAAGGAAAGATACAATGCGTACTCGGATGAAGCCGTGGAGCCCAAGCGCATGACTAAGTGTTAACATTGGACCATGTACCGATGCGCCGAATGCCGTCCAACCAGGATGCCCGAAGCAAACGGATTCTGAAGAGGTGAAGAATCTAGAGCTTGCACCCGAAATTTTAAGATGGTTAAGGTGAACTACTTAATTGTACGAAGATCGTGCTGAGAAGGACCGCACAGTGACCTCAAGACCAAACCAAAGGAGCACCGTGTTGAGCCGTGTATGGCTGATATGAAAGAGTGTTGCCCAAGACTTGCCAAACGCACGTGCACACACAGAATAAAGCTTCCTTGTCTTATAGAAAGATGAATTTGTTCCAGGTTCACAAGTTTTTCGTGCAGCTTGATGCAAACCAGCATAGATATATCACTACATTGCACAATGTGAACGGATGCCTCTATCATAACAGAAACGTTTCATATGCCATCGCAAGAATTCCATATGTTCTCGTAATATACTTAAGGAAAACAAATGAATTCTGTGACCAAAGATAAGTATTTATTGCAATGGAATCCCTATCGGAAAAATTGCCATGGTGGATACTGGAAAACATGGTGGGAGTAGTGGAAATAATAGTGGGCATGGTGGAAATAATAGTGGGCATGGTGGAAATTATGATGGCTATGGTGGGACGTAGTGGAAAATATGGTGGTTATGCTGGGACATACTGGGTGGTATGGTGTACAGATGATGGGTAAAGTGGAAATGATGGTGGAAAGCAGAGGCTAGATAGTGGGCAATAATGGGACACTCTGCCCACCATTGCGATAATGCTGGGAAGCCCTAAGCATATGGTGGGTGGTGCTTATTATGGTGGGCTACATGGTGTACCAAGTTGAGAAACTCTTCCCACCATTGCGATAATGCTGGGAAGCACTAAGCAGATGATGGGTGCTGCTTGTTATGGTGGGCCACATGGTGTACCAAGCTGAGAAGCTCTGCCCACCATCGCGATAATGCTGGGAAGCAGTAAGCAGATGATGAGTGGGCTTATAATGGCGTGCAATTTATATAGTGTACAAAGCTGGGATCTGTACACTACATGTTCTACCACCATGATTTCCACCAAAGGTTAGGCCTACTGACCGAGCCCGTACAATCGTGTTATCCGTGCTTCCGGGTTTCAGAATACATGATTACGACGATTAAGTATGACAATACAGCGCAGCCATATGGCATCAATTAACCTAAATGAAGCATTTTTCATTGTGTATGGTGTCCGCTCAAGAAGCAACAAACATCGATGCGACGCGATTAAAGCACTCCCAGAGAACGTAATTAAGTGTCTTATCACCAACAGCCGCCGGTCACACTCGCCGGCACTTCTCTAGCTTTTGTACGAGAACTCAGACGTGGCAATTCGTGTGCTTGGTGAACCAATATGATAGCATAATGTTTCTGGCACACTGCATTCGTTTTGGCCAAGCCGTTATGTAGTTGTTGTTTTAGCGAAAGAGCTACAGCATTGCGCTGGCGCGACCGCGCTCTACATTGCGGGAAAAGCATCCCAATACTCAATCAAATAAATTAGGCGGGCGTATATATGGAATGAGCCTAGAAGCGTCATAAAGCGTGAGCAGATGTCGCCCTTTAGAACGAGCGCGAAACGGATATTAAACTTGGCAGACCCCGCCGGTAAACTGTTGCTGCTCCCCAGTCCACTTGGTTTTTTTTTTCTTGAAGTTGTGAAATGTAAAAAAAAATAGCACTAGTGCCAATAACATAGTGGCAATCGTTACAGGCCGCAGTTGCTTGTGTTTAATAAATGTGCAATATTTAGTAGCAGGTGTAGATCTTGTCTATGTTGTGTACACGACAAACATATCTAAGTTGAACCTTAAGTTTGTATGGCGATCAAGTATTTAACACGCAATCAACATCATGTTGGTGTGGCGCAGTGGCTAGCGTCTTCGAATGGGAATCGGCAGGTTGCACGTTCGATCCTCCGTGGCGTCTTGTTTTTTTTTTTTTACGGGACGGGTGTTTTTTATACCGTTTTTATAGAATTCTTTTTTTATTTTTTGTGGCAGCTCGTCACGGTGATTCTGACGTCATTTCGCACTCAAGTGTTGCCGGCACTGCAGCACCCACCATGCCCACCATGCGCCATGGTGGGCGTTTCCAACCATTCACCCACTACATTAATCCACTATAATGGTGGGTGGTGGTTTCCACCATGCCCACCATTCGTTTTTTTCCGATAGGGATATTGGAATGGAATAAGTATTTATTGGAATGGAGTAAGGTAAAAACAGTGTAATATACTGATGGGAGACATCAATGCAAAAGTAGGAAAGCAACAGGCTGGAGACCAGGCAGTAGGAGATTATTGCATCGGTACTAGAAATGCCAGAGGGGAGCTACTATCGAATTTGCAGAACGCAATAATTTACCGATTTTGAATACATTCTACCGAAAGCGAGGGAACCGTAAGTGGACATGAAGGAGCCCTAATGGCGAAATTAAAAACGAAATAGGCTTTATACTGAGTGCACACCCCGGCATCGTGCAGGATGTGGAAGTGCTTGGCAAGGTACGATGCAGTGACCATAAAATGGTACGGTCCCGAATTCCCGTAGACTTGAAGAAGGAACGACAGAAACTGATACGTAAAAAGCCAATCAAAGAACCTGTACTGAGAGATGAAGTACAACAATTCAGAGTCTCCCTTCAGAGCAGGTACTCAGCTGTTATCGAAAAAACCAGCATGAACATTGATGCAATGAATGATAATCTGAAGAGTATCTTTACAGAGTGTGCAGTGGAAGTTGCAGGTACTCTAGTTAGACAGGACACTGGCAAGCTGTCTCGGGAAATGAAGAATCTCATTAAGAAGCGTCAAGCATGCAAGCCTCAAGTACAACAGACAAAATAGAGTTGGTAGAGCTTTGAAAGTTGAATAATAAGCGTAAGGTATGCGACGTGAGAAGGTACAGCATAGAAAGAATTGAACACACTTTGAAGAACGGAGGAAGCGTCAAAGCAGTGAAGAAAAAAACTTGGGATAGACTAAAACCTCATGTATGCACTAAGGGACAAGGAAGGCAAAGTAACTAACAATATGACTAAGATAGTAAAGTTAGCGGAGACGTTTTACAGAGATCTGTAGAGTAGTCAATACAACCACGGCCTTAATATAAGAACTACCAGTAACCCAATTGACACCCCACCAGTAATGATATAATTCAGGAAAGCCTTGGAGAGCATGCCAAGAGGCAAAGCTGCTGGTGAGGATCAAGTAACATCAGATATGCTGGAAGATGGAGGACAGATTGTGTTAGAAAAACTAGCGACCCTGTTTACGATGTGTCTCCTGACGCGAAGAGTACCAGAATCTTGGAAGGATACTAACATCATCCTAATACATAAGAAAGGAAGTGACAAAAACTTGAAGAATTACAGGCTGATCAGCTTGCTCTCCATAGTATACAAGCTATTTACAAAGGTAATTGCTAACAGAGTAAAGAAAACATTAGAATTCAATCAACCACAGGAACAAGCAGGATTTCGAACACACTACTCAACAATCGACCACATTCGTACTATAAACCAGGTAAGAGAGAAATGCTCAGAATATAGCCAACCACTATACATAGCCTTCATAGATTACGAGAAGGCGTTTGATTCAGTAGAAATATCAGCAGTCATGCAGACACAGCGGAATCAGTGTATCGACGAAGCATATATAAACATCCTGGAATAAATCTACAGGGGATCAACTGCTACCATAGTGCTTCATAAAGAAATCAACAGAACACAGATTAAGAAGGTTGAAAGGCAGGGGGATACCATCTCCCCAATACTATTTACCGTGTGCTTACAGGAGGTTTTCGGAAGCGTAGATTGGGCAGTTACGGATAAAAGTTAATGGACAGTACCTTGATATATGCTTCGCCGATGACATTGCATTGCTTATTAACTCAGGGGACGAATTGCAACTAATTATCACGGAGTTAGACAAGGAGTGCAGAAAGGTGGGTCTTAAAATTATTCTGCAGAAAACGAAACGAATGTACAACGACCTCAGAAGAGAGCAGCGCTTGGAGATAGAAAATAGTGCACTTGAAGTTGTAACATACTATGTCTACTTAAGACAGGTAATAACCGCGGAGCCGAACGATGAGATTGAAATGACGAGTAGAATAAAAATGGGGTGGAGCACATTTTGCAAGCACTCTCAAATCACGACAGGTGAATTGCCACTGTCCCTCAAGAGGAAGGTATATAACAGCTGCATCTTGCCGGTACTTAGCTACGGAGCAGAAACCTGGAGACTTATCAAGAGGATTCAGCTTGAGGATGACGCAGTGAGCAATGAAAAGGATATCGATAGGTGTAACCCTATAAGGAACAAGAATAGAGCAGAGTAGATCAGGGGACAAATGGGTGTTAGGAACATCACAGTCTAAATGCAGAAGACCAAATCTTCATGGGCAGGGCACGTATCGTGAAGAAAAGATAACTGATGGTCATTAAGGGTACCTGACTGCATTCCCTGAGAAGGCAAGCGTGTGAGGGAGGGACAGAAGGTTAGGTGGGCAGATGAGCTTAAGAAGATTGCGGGCATAAATTGGCAGCAGCAACATGGGAGAGGACTCTGTCCTGCAGTAAACGTAGTCAGGCTGCTGTTACTGATGATGATATTAGACATAGTCGGTAAAAACACTAGATTCGCTGCATGGCGCAGGGTGGTCCCAGAGATCACAGACATGTCTCAAGGAAGCAGCACAGGATGCTGTCTGTGACCCACTCTTCATACACTGGAGGAATCGTTGGAGTGATGATGAACAGCAATTCTGAAAAAAGTCCTCACACGGAGTGAACACCAAACGACAGACCACAGTAGTGGGCTTGCTTTTACGATGCATTCCTCAGAAGACAAGCTAGATGCGCATACTCGTGTACATCAGAGACACCATGTCCACATGATAGGGGTATCTGTAGTATTGCCTTGCCCATCCGGGAGGCACAGGTCAAACGTGGCAGGCAATCTGGTTTGGTAAGCAAGAGGCAGGGACCAGGAGGCGCATCCTTGTGGACGCAATGACACCATGGCCACAGGACAGGTGAATTTCGAGGATTGCCTGGGCCATCCAAGAGGCGTAGGCCGGGTTCGGAAGGCGATGCGTGTTTCGACGTTGCATCCACTGGATGGTGCCAGAGGCCGGAAAGCTGTAACAACACCAAGATTTCACGATCAGATGTTTTCCAGATGCACATCTGTGGAGCATGCACAGAAATGAGAGGTCATGGCGAGTTGGAACACAATACTTGACAATGCCAAATTATTGCATTCACCTAGAAACAGACAACAGAGCGAGATTTATTTTATTCTGCAATTGGTCGACTATTGTACGCAATATTCAAAAGTTGTGGGTTTTAAATGCACCGTAAAAATCCACCTCTTTCGGTTATGTATTTGAAGTCAATTACTTAACTACAGTTAAAGACTATGTACCCCACGCTTTCCTTCAGCTAATTGATTTATTTGGTAGTGCCTAACAAAGAGATGAGTCTGAAATTTTTTTTTTAGTTCACAGCGAGTCTCACCAGACATGAATTATTCGAACTGTCCGTAGACTGATGTGCCGCACAGTGCATAGAAAAACGTCTCGAGGAGGATCAAATGACGACGCAGCGCTTTCATGTGGCTATTGCGGGTCCTGGCAACGCCTGCCATGCAGGCAGAGAGCTCTCGTTAGCCTTTTTTACGAATGAGTGGCAATATCCAACATACCGGCACCATGACGCGGAACGCAAACCAGATTTGCAGCGAAAATATTCACATTCTTCATAGGTAATCTACCAGCGTAAATTTCGTGGTGATCTGATGTGTGGTAATTTGTAGGCAAGTCTGCGCCGCTTCAATATGCTTTGGTGGTGGGTTTCCCACGCAACACCAAATTTGTATATTGAGTTGCCTTCAGCCAGCTTCCAAAACAATACGACTAGTTTCCTCCCTCGAGGTGTGGGAGCCACTCCTGTCGCTAACCGACTACCGGATTAAGGCAGAAGTGAATAACTGGGCCGAAACGGTCGTGGCAAGCTTTTCGCCCCCAACCTTGGAACCACCGGTAAGATGAATTCAAAGACCTCGTGGCACCGTCAATAATGTCGCTTCTCTTTCTTTCTAAAGGCTTGATTGTATGCCGTTTTAAGGAGAGATGTGAAAAAAAAAAGAAAGCACGAACTGTACATGTGCAAAGATAAAACTCACGCGCGCGCGCTGCATTTATATACGTTTCAGTGTAATTTTTTTTTTGTTCTGAGCATCATTCAGAAATCAGTTGCACGATGTTATGGAGTCATCTTTGTCAAAGCCTATATGTTGTAATAAAGGTAAGACAAGCTTATATATGTTAGTATCACACGAGCGCTTCCCGATTTTAGCCAACCACCGAAACATTTGCCCAATAAACATGTCTCCCTGCAAACAAAACTGCAAAAACTTCCTTACAAAATTGGCAACACCAGTGTTTCACGAGCTTAGTGCTGATGATAAATCGAATAAGTCCTAACTTTTTATTCTCATGGTGAAAATGATTAAAGTTTAAAAACGTTTCCAATTATCGAGAGATGACTATATTCCTTCACAACATTACACCTTGAATCAATCTGTTTTCGCGAGCGACAAAGCATCGCGTAGGGCATAGATGGTGCATTTATACATATTTCATCTTTGCAACCTGCCCATCAGGCCTTTCAAGACACCAAGTGCATGAGCAGGTCACACTCATAAAATAATACAGGCCGCTGTTTAATTGGTAGAGAGTGGAATATGGCAGCCTAAAATAGATAGTGTGTATCGTCGCAACATTTATTAATTGGAAACCAATACGACATCTGCGGACACAAGCAGATCGGTGCAGCGGAGAATGATGCGGTAATCGGTGCTCGCAAATTGTGCTGAGGTTTCATCTTTTCCACCACATAAATGATTGGTTGGCTAATTGCTACTCATTTACCATTCGTTTTGCATGTAATTATAATCTATTTCGATATAGAACTCGATGCATGCCACATCATTAAAGCGGCCTGGCGTGATTACATTTGTCAAAACAAGCTCAACACGCTTCTACGCTCTCCTACTCTCCTGCGATCATAATTCAGATCGCCATGTTGGTTAACTTTGCGCGCCACCTATAGGCCGTGGACAGTGCGAATACTTTAGGCTACCAAACGAGGGTTTATTGTTCAGCAGCAGTCTCGAACAAAGGTCCCGTGCCACCCTCTGGTGAAAAGTTTGACACTCGCCACCTTTACTACAAGTGGTGCGGACCAACACTCCTAGATGTAATGATATAGAGATATTAAACATGGAGGACAGGGGGGTGCCCATCATCACACTTTGCAAGGAAAAGCCACACAGGTGTTACTTGAAAGTTGCTGGTTCATATCTCACCAATAAAATGGGTGATTTTTCGACCACATACTCGTTAATTTCATCCACTGATTGTCTTAAACTACACATGAGAAAATATCATGCCCTTTGTTTACTTTTGCTTAAACGACTGTGTTATATTCACTTGGCAAGGTCACGGAGGAACATGATTGGGGGGGGGGGGGGGGATACCACAAGACAAAGCAAAATGACGGCTGAGGAGAGGAAGAGCTATATTTCAGCAGGTGATAGCTTTTGTTACACAATACCATAATAGCAAAAACAACGGCTACATGGTGGAGTTTTTTGTCCCGTGAGCATGTGGCGGTCTCCAGGGCAGCTATCTTCAATATGTCCAGCTATTGTACATGTCTGCTTTGGTGCAGCGTATTCAGTTACTCGAAAAAGCAGCAAGTCATGACATCATGGCACTCTTCACCACGTAAATGCAGCAAACACACCGGCACTTGCAGTCTAAAGAGAATTGAAATGATGAAGGGTACGGTAACACGACTCTTAAAGGGGCCCTGCAACCCTTTTTGTGCATGGTCAGAAAACGCTGCCGATCGGTAGTAGAGGCTCCCGACAACACGCGAGCCAAATATAGCGCAGCACGCGGCCTGTAAATCACAATAAATTACCAAAGTCAGCTAAAAATAGCTTTCTCTTATCTCGACAAACCACGGAATTTAGCCCAGTAAGCATATCTACCAGCCATTGGCTGATTTGAACATGGCGCGCTCGGTTGTTACAGAGCTCGCCGCGAGAGGCCGTCACTCGTCCATCGTGCGTGCGCGACCGCACTAGCAAAGCCGCGTATTCGAAGAAAAAAGAAGAAATGATGAAGCTCACGAGGCGCGAGTGGCGTTTTTTGTTTGCCCCTCCCATCTCATCCCTCCCTCCTCAGCTTCTAGCGCTTTCGTGAGGACGAGGGATGATAGAATGTAATTGCAGCGTGTGACATATCTTTGTACCTCCGCTGGTACTGGACGGATTCTTGAAAATTTTTTACGGCGTTATATTTATGAGGTAATACGCTTTCCAGTGAATTCCATGGTTACTCAAAAAAGTGTCCAGGGCCCCTTAACTTGACAAGTTTAAACGTATGTATAAAAGTTTCGAGCTGTTGAGAGATAGATGCAAGGAATGCATACAGACATTGAAGATGCACCAGGCGGGTTGCCATGTAAAACCTAATTGAAGAGCGAACGTGATTAGATTTCATGCCAGACTCCAAGGCGCGCGTTCAAACGCATATCTCTGGAGCTCCCACATGAAAATGTGATGTGAATTCCCAGCTGGAAATTGAGTTTCCAGCCTGACTTTCAGCTGGAAACTGCTATTCAAGCGGGGAATTTCCCATTCCCGACGGGAAATGCAATTTCCGGCTGTGAATTAATCCCATCCCATCCTATGATGGGAATGGTAATTCCAGGCTGGCAATGGAAATGATTCCCAGCTGGAAAGCCATATCTAGCTGCAAATATAACTTCCGAACTTGGACTGGAAAGCGTCAAGCTGGAAATGGCTTTACAGTCTGGAATAATTTCCATTTCCAGCTTGCAGTTTTCCAGTCCCAGTTGGGAAGTTATATTTCCAGAAGGAAACTTTTGCATCTTCAGTTGGGAAATAATTCGCTCGATTAGCATGAGATTTTCCTGTTTGATAGGGCTTATTTCACAAAAGAAATTCGAGCCACAGAAAAAAATTGCTCTGCATACAAGTGACAGCTTAAGTGTTTAGCGCGTTTACTGGAATGTAACGGTCTCAGGTCAGACGTTAATGTAATGCCTAAGTACTTATGCTGCACAACATTAGTCAGTGGTGAACCATGAATGGTGTAGATGAATTGCGATGAATTCTGCTTACATGTTACCGTCATAGCTGCGGATTTTTTCACATTGATGGACATTTGCCACTTAGCGCACCAATCTGCTAGCTTGGTTAGACATTCATTGAGATTAATGTGGTCTGTGTAGCTGGTTACCTCCTTATAAATAATGCAGTCATCTGCAAACAGTTTGATATTACAGTTAATGTTTGACGTGAGGTCACTTATGAAAATTAAAAATAATAGTGGCCCCAAGACGGAACCTTGAGGGACCCCAGAAGTTACGGGGACTATGTTTGATATATGACCTTCATACTGCACGAACTGTGAGCGATTTGTTAGGAAATTTTCTATCCAAGAAAACAATAACCCCTCTCCTATCGCACTTTTCAGTTTAATTAGTAACTTTCTGTGACATACACAATCGAAAGCCTTAGAGAAATCAAGTAAAATTATGTCTGTTTGGCCACGATTATTTATGGTAGAAGCTAGATCATGAACTACCTCCGTTAGCTGCGTAACAGTGGACAGGCCACTACGAAATCCGTGTTGACTAGGAGACAAAAAATTTATTTTCTCGAGAAAAACAGTTATGTGTTTGAGGATCATATGCTCTAGTAGCTTACATGAAATGCTAGTGAGGGATATCGGCCGGTAATTTGAAACCAATGACTGTTCTGATTTATGAGTAGGTATTATTTTTGCAATCTTCCAGTCATCTGGCAGCTGGGATGAAGTAAGCGACTTTCGAAAGATTAACCCAAGAAACTTGCTACACCATTCCGCGTACCTCTTAAGGAACTCGTTAGGAATATCATCTGGACCACTCAATTTTTTAGGATCTAAGTTAAGAAGCCAGTTCAGTATTCCTGTATCTGTGACTTCTAGGTGATCGATGCTTGGCGAATCGAGGGATAATACTGGAGGAGTGGCACCATTATCAGTCGTGAACACTGATTGGAAAAAAATGTTGTATTCGTTAGCCTTTTCCGTTCTTTCCCCTGAATCCGTGTGCGACTGTGTATTATTGCTAGTGCGAAGGTATCTCCAAAATTTGCTTGGATTGCTTTTAATAAAGCTTGGAAGTGTAACACTAAAATAATATTGTCTGGCAGTTTTCTTTTTTTGCTTAAACTCTGATTTTGCACACTGCAGCTTCTGTTGAATAGATGATTTACACTTATGGTTTTACGCAGCCACACGCAACCTTTTTAACCTACGCTTGGCCTGGATAACCTCACGTGTTATCCAAGGGTTATTCCCTGGAGCTTTCTTGTGTTTCTTTGGTATGAAGTTAGTGACACAGTACATAACAGTAGATTTGAAACTTAGCCAAAGTAGATTAGTATCACTGGATGCGTCAAAAGCTAGCTGCAAAAAGTTTTCGAACTCATGTGCGAGATGGGTTAATACGCTGCTATCATCAGCTTTTTTGAAATCAATTACAGTTGATCCACGCTGCTCACATGCAATACTGGAGTCAAGCGGCAGCAAGCATATGACTATGTGATGGTCTGATATGCCGTCAACTACGTCAGTGCGAACACGGTCTTCCGGGAAGTGCTGACTAATCAGTATCAGATCTAATATGCTCTCGGCAGTGTTCTGTAAGCGGGTTGGAGATAACACGATTTGCTGAAGGCTAAAGTTCAACATTATGTTTATAAGAGCGTCCGAGGCAGATGATGTGTGGTTTAGCGTAATCCAGTCAATGTCTGGGAGATTAAAATCTCCCATAAGCAGGACACGAGAGTTGCGAACATGATGCTGCATGAAGTCATGAACTGCAGTTATGCATTCGTGTCCGGATGACGGACCTCGATAAACGCATCCAACGAATATAGAAGTGCTATCGCAAAGAAACCGGCAGAAAATTGCCTCAGCATCTGTTACAGCTGGAAGCGATACAGATGAATGACATTTCTTTATGAGTAGAGCGACGCCCCCGCCACGAGAAGGTCTATCCTTACGGATAACGTAATAATTTGGAGGAACAACTTCACTATCGTATATCTCGGAAGAAAGCCATGTTTCAGTGACACCTACTATATCAGGTCTGTATTCTAGTAGAAGATTTTCGAGAGCATCTATTTTGTTTAGAACACTTCTTGCGTTAACATTCAATATAGTCAAGGTTTCGATTTTGCGTGTAGACGAGCTTGCCGAGTTTGCGGTCTTGATCGCACCTCGTCCTTTTTTTGGGCGAGAACCTTGTCGTTCTTTTCTTCATCCCAGGTAAAGGCTTGGTTATTAATGAACAATTTGTCAAACACTAACGACACCTTCTCCTTCTTTCCTTGATTTTCTTTGGCGCTGTTCCATAACTTTCGCCTGATGTCTCGGATTCTAGGCGAAAAGTCTTCTCCGATTGAAAAGCTGGTGTTTTTCAGTTTGTATCCGCTTTTAAGTATCGATGATTTCTGCCTAAAATCTGGCAACTTGAAAATGACTGGTCTATTTTCGTTCCGTTCCGCTCGTCCTAGGCGGTGTATTCGTTCGATAGAAACTCGTTCAAGGTCGAGGGTGTCCTGAACAATAGTCTTATTCACTGCTTGTTCAAGAATTTCACTCGTCTCTCCTTCAACTTCAGGTAGGCTATAAACAATTAGGTTCGATCGCCTACTTCTGTTTTCTAGATCGTCGACCTTCCTTTCCAGCAATTCGTATATATGCACGTTTCATGCTGACAAGCTCATCCTGACAGAGACTAACCTTCTCTTCAAGTCTTGATAAAGCGTCTAGCTTTTTATCAATATCGACAAGACGCTTTTCCTTAATGAACTTAATACCCGCGGCGATTTCTTTTAGTGCGCTTGCGATTTGATCTTGCGCAGGTCCCGGGTTAGTCTCGATGTCTCCCCCTAAGAGTAGTAATTTTCGCAAAAACATCCTAACACAACATGGCATACAAGAAAACCGTGGGCACGGTAGCACAAACAAAAAAGGATCGTCAGAGCGTATACATTTTCCGTATTTCTTCCTCACTGCACAAGGAAGACGAACGGGTTATCAGACGTCCGCATGCCTGAAGTGCCACCGTGCCCCATGCGTCTAGCGTGGCACCGCACAACGCAAGTGCTAGCTTATCAACGCAACAAATGGTATGTCAGTTAGGTCACTACGGTTGCTACGGGTTGTGACGGTCACCCTTTAGGCATTCCTATACATCTTTCGATAAGCCCAGAAAACGATATGGCTGCGATTAACAAAGCTTGCAGAAGCAAGGCAGCCCATCAAGTTTAATGTATGCATCTTTCCTGTCTCTTCTATCCCCTCAGTTTGTTGTTGCTTCTTCTTCCTCTTTTCTATACCTTTACTCCTACCCTTTTTATCCCTCATCACCCCCATCCCTTGTGAGCCCTGTGGCGATGTCGCTCACTGAAGCAGACAATAACGGCGCTCACTTTTCTCTTCCTTTCTCTTTATTAAGAACCACTCCATCTGTTCTATTCATGGAAGCAGTGGAGTCATGCTTACTCGATTGGTGCAATGCCAATAGCACGTCCGCCACAAAGGGTCCCTTGGCGGTAGTGCGCAAGATACCCCGGAGTAGCTCGGGGCGCGTCAGGACGTTAGTCGATGAGCGCTCCTGGAACGAAAGCAAAGTTGTTAGACGATGAAATCTCGCCTAATAGAATAAACGCCTTCTCACGAATTACGCGGGAGCTCGAAGCAACGGTTGGTCTATGAGCGTTGAAGCTAAAAAGAAGCAAAAAAGGTACGGGGTAGCCCGACAAAAGGAACGCGCAAAACCCGAGTGAACAGTTTAGGGGTGCTGCGGCCACAGCAGCTCCCTGACTCGATGTGTTGTGCAGACCTGGAGTGCTTGAGGTTTGGCAGACGTGGCCAGTTTCTTGAAGTGCGGCAACAAGCTGGCGAGGAAAACATCGGCACTGCGCCGTATTGCGACCCGTGAAAAAGGTATTAAAGCACCACAAAAAGACGGGTACTTAATTAGAGTTACGGAAGCTAGACGGGCATTCCGTGTCGTCAGGTGCGCCTGCCTTGGCCACAGCGCTGACAAAGCTATCTAGTATACTGCCTAATTGTAAGCTAAGCCTGAAAGCTGTACGCACGCTTTTGTCACGGGAAGATGGACCCAGATTGGCGGCATGGTACAACGAACCAGCTCACTAAAGTTCGAAGCAAAGTGGCTTAAACTTCGGTTGAACTCGGGAACTATAATAAGTAATGTTCGCTGAACACGATTGCTTACCTCGTCAGCCTGTAGAATTCAGGGGCTCACCCATTTCTTTGCTGCCGAAGCTCGCAGTGGCCCTAGATAAATTCCAGGCGACGCAGCTCCTCATACGTAGTCGCACAGGTCCAGGTGAAGTACCCTACAAGTGACAAGAAAAGTTCAAACGTGGCTCATACGTACTAATACTATCGCACGCCCCTCACCTGAACATCGCGGCCAGCCCACCATGGTGCCGAAGGACTGTCATCTACAAAACGTACACTGCATGACGCACCGCAAATGAAATATTGAAGCCCGCCATCCACGTGTAACACTAACGGTGACGCTGCGCATGCGTTGTTGCAGCCTATAATCTGGTCGCGCCAATACGTCACGATATCGTTCTTCACCGTCTTATCGGGGAAATCTGCGCTCGGCGTATTGCGGAGTTAAGAACAGGAGGCAGAAACTCCCTAGACCTCCCATGTATTCGCTCTCGGCAGCGGCTGTGCCGCTTTTACCACAGGCTATTGCCAGGAATACTATTAGAAATGTGTCTGGAACGGAAAATTGTTCATGCCGTCGCTGGTGACGTCCAGAAATAGAGGGTAAGGATGCAAAATCGAGCGCAGAAAGGTTGCCGCGAAAGCCCCTCCTTTCCCACTTCTCATGCAAGTGGAATGCGCTCGTGCCTTCTTTCAGGTCCTCTGGCCGCACGAGTGATGCGGCCATTCGCAAAATTGTCTTAATTTTTTTTACCTTGATTTCGTTTGTGTTTAGTATATCCATCAGCTTAGATTCGCTGAGCTCAAAGAAAATCGTCTTCAAATAATTTAAGCGTGTTTAATAAGTAGCCACCTAATTGCAATAATATATAGCCAAAATATTTTGATGATGCCATGATCAACCATGCCTTGTGATATTTACCTATGCTTACCTTGGTGCACTTAAATAGCTTAACTATGCATAATTACACTAAAAATGTAACGTGAAATTCCAGTATATCAGGTGTCTGATTATCAGGTTATTTCATTAGTCATAATTAGTACGTGTCTTCACGAAAGCTATTCAGACAGAAATGATCCTAATTGGTATAGAGTAAGTAAGGTATAATTAGTATCTGCCAGGCGAAGTATCTGGCATCATGGGGAAGTCCAGTTGAAATGATTGGCCGCGATAAGGTTTGCATTGTCTGGAAGTTTCACTTTGGCTAAATAATATAATAGCATGATCAACTATGCTTAATTATATTTGGCTGCACGTGTACATTTTTCGACCAACCTGGGTGCATTTATTACGCTTATAAAAATGGCAGCGTATCCATGGACGGAATGATGAGTGGGGCGAAGCGTCCGTCAGTCTGTCCGCGCTTCCAGCCGTCTGTTCGTTGTTTCTTCCGTTCGTCCGTTCGTCTGGCCATGCGTCCATCCGTGCGTCCATCCGCGCATCCATCCATCCGTCCGTGCGACCGTTTGTCCGTGCATATCTCTGTCTGTCCGTCCGTCCACCCATCCTCGCGTCCGTGCATCTGTCCGTCCGCTTGTCTGTCTGTCCGTGCGTGAGTGCGGCCGTCCGTCCACCCATCCGTCCATCTTGTGAACACTCCAAGTATCACCATCTCGCAACTTTTCATCATATCCATTCAGCTGACATTCCAAGGCCTAAGCGAGAGGTGGCTACCTACTACTACAACTAATGCGCTACTACTACATACATTGCGGACGAGCGACCACGGCTTAAGGAGCTTCGCCCATAAAAAAAAAACAAAGCTGGACTTCGCCTAAAAAGTTTACGCCTTATTTTACTTGGTAATACCACGCAATTAGACATAAGATCAGGCTACAGTTACTTTGACTTAAATAGGCCTATTAAAGTTCATCTTAGTCTAAACCGACAATGGTAAACTGAGCTGAGTATACCTAAATTTGTGTGCTCAGCTTCATCAGATAATGCGATGCTATAGCGACACTTATGCTTAACAACCAGTACAAATGATGCAAGCCCGGCGCTGGAACCGGCCCAGTCGCAGCCACTGCGTAAAAAAAAAAAAAAAAAAAAAAGAAACTGCACCAATTCACTCGAAAATACGATGGCGCAAAGAAAGCGGCACCCAGTTGTCCTTTTGGCTGCGAGCGCTGTCACAGCGTCAGAGAAAGTCGCATGAGGGGACAGTCCAAAGAGTCTCACAAAATTACCTAGAGGTAAATCTGGCGCTGGTGAGCTGCTGGATGCAAGGGAATGCTTCTATATGTGAGCTTCATACTTGACACGGATTTGTAAACTCCGAAGAATCGTCTGGCTTCACGTTAAAATGGTTCATTTATTACTAACAGAGCACGCGATGAGCTATTTATTTTTCACTATCGCACAGAAATGTGTTATTTAACAATGCAACCTTCCGCGTCGATGTACAATTTTACGAAGCGTACGAAGTAACCAATGGCCGCCAAACTCGGCAGGCAGATGACAGATGACAAAGTAAGCGTTCGCTCTGCCACTTTGGGTCGTTTTTTTTTATTTCGCCGTTTGGTTGTGCCGTCAAGGTTGGTGGACATTTATTTCAGAACACAATACACATGAGTGAGATTCACTTGTAAACGTTTTGTTTTTCAGTGAAGCTTAATTTTTTAAACCGCGAAGATTTCGATCCTTCCTCTAAACAAAACTGTCAGATTAAACACTTCGCCCAACTGATACATTATCCTCATTTATACATCTCTCAGAATTTATGCCCATTCTTTCCTTTTTATTATTGCTTTTCATGTTCATGCCACTTCATGACCACACATTTGAACTACTCTCTTTTTATCTTAGCGCTGTTTTCATAAACTTTTTGTATTACTTTTTTGTGATGTTATAACTGTATGTTTACTTCATATTTGTTGTACATGATGGACTGCCATTCCTGCTGCTTTGTCAACTTGTGAACGGGGTCAGGACCTCGTCAAGCTCTTGAGCTTTTAGTCCTGTACTCTACCTTATCTAAAGGAAATAAAATGATTGATTGATTGATTGATTGCGCAGACGTATTCACTTTTGAGCCAAAGCCTCGTTCAACACCAGCCAACACAAGCCTTGCAAACGTATACCCTCACACCCAGCGCTCCGAAAAATTCGCATAGACGGTGGCGCTGCATTTCTCCCTAGGTATTGTTCTGAGAAGCTATATGGGACAACCGATACGATGCGCATACGCACCGCAGCAGACGGCGCGTCGGTGCCTTCGGCCACGCGATCTCGTATTCCGCACGATTTCTCTCGCGCCTGCACGCTTGTGCCACGGATTACTACGGCAATATTTTTTTTTTTGTATTGCAAAGCATGTATACAGGACGCGCGTGCTTGTAAAGCATGAAAGTTGCTTTCACTGCATTTCGAAGCAGGGGAAGTTATTTTCACTGCATTCACGAGCAGAGGCCTGGCAATCAACGCAACTAAAAGATTACCATGCTAGTGAACCCCTACCTTTTCAGATCTTTAGTTTATAATTCGTAGTTATGTCTTTCAAAAACAAAAGATGGTTTGACCGCTTGCTCAGCAAACATTTTTGCTTTTTGGTGGTATTAATTTAAGCTACTTTTTCAGATTGGCTTCATTTTCAATTTAGTTTCATTTAAGTATCCTGCCCCCCGGTTCTTGGCCCATCCCCCTTTGTTGGTAAGCGCCATCCATCAGAGGTCATCAGCATCAGCATCAGGCCTGGCTGTGTGGTACAGAACCAACGCTTGCCACGCAAATGTTAATTTATTTGCATGTTTCTCGATTTTTCAGTAATGAAAAAAAAATTTTCGTTCACGAACAACGATGCCGACACCGGAATTACCGCAAAACGAGCTTTTTAACGCTATCACGTTAATATTACTCACCCCACTCCCTCAGGCTCGACGTGGATGACATAGGTCCACCTATGCCGATATGATATCACCATGCCCACAGGCATAAATGCGATCAACGAAATAGATGCGTTTAGCACGGCAGAAGTAACTACACAGCCCAAGTGCTAGCTTATCAACGAAACAAATGGGATGTCACTTAAGTCACTACGGTTCCTACAGGTGCTTTCACATTTTAGGCACCCGTATACATCTTTCGACAAGCTCAGAGAACGATGGCTGTGATTAACAAAGCCTGCAGAGCAAGGCGGCCCTTCAGGTTTAATGTATGCATCTGTCCTTTTCATGGAAGTAGTGGAGTCATGCTTACTCGATCAGTGCAATGCCAGCACGTCCACCACAAAGGTTCCGTCGCCGCTAGTGCGCAGGATACGCCGTAGTAGCGCGAGGCGCGTCAGTAGGCCCGTCGATCATCGCTCCTGGAACGAAAGCAAAACTTGTTAGACGGTGAAAGTCCACCTAATTAAATAAACGCCATCTTACAGATTACGCTGGAGCCCTAAGCAATGGTTGGTTTATGAGCCAAGTTGAAGATTAAAAAAAAAACAGAGGGCAAGGGGTAGCCGCACAACAGGAACACCGAAACCCGACTGAACAGTTTAGGGGTGCTGTGCCCGTAGCAGCTCTCTGACTCGACGTGATCTGCAGACCTTTCTAGCAGACGGTGATAAGCGCTTGAAGTTGGGCAGACGTTGACAGTTTCTTGAAGTGTGGCAACAAGCCGGCGAGGAAAACATCCGGACTAGCCGTATTGCAGCCCGCGAACAAGATATTGACGCACCACAAAAATACGGGCACTTAATTGGGGTTACGGAAGCTATAGACGGGCATTCCGAGTCGTCGGTTGCACCTCCCTTGCTCAGAGCGCTGACAAACCTATCTAGTACCTGCCTGATTGTAAGCTAAGCCTGGAAGCTGTACTCGCACCTCTCTCACGGGGACTATGGGCCCAGAATGGCGGCATGGTACAACGAACAAGCCCACTAAAGTTCGAAGCAACCTGGCTTAAATTTCGGTTGAATTGGGAAAATTCAATAAGTTCCCGTATTTCGGCCCGCCAAAAAGACGTTTGCGCACAACAAAAAGGCCGGCACGAAATTATGGTTACGGAAGCTAGACGGGCATCGGAAGTCGTTGGGTGCACTCCCTTGCCCACAGCGCTAACAAACCTATCTAGTATCTGCCTAACTGTAAGCTTAGCCTGAAAGCTGTACTTGCGCTTTTGTCACGGGGAGTATACATAGACCCAGATTGGAGGCATGGTTCAACTAACGAGCTCACTGAAGTTCGAAGCAAGCTGGCTTAAACTTCGGTTGAACTGGGAAACTATAGCGGGTCATATTCACTGAACACGCCTCGCCGGCCTGTCGAATTGGGGGGGGGGGGGGGGGGGGGGGCTCACCGATTTTTTTGACGCCGAAGCTCGCAGTGGCCCTCGATAAATTCCAGGCGACGCGGTTCCTTGTACGTAGTCACACAAGTCAGGTGAAGTCCCCCAGAACTCCCAAGAAAAGTTGAAACGCGGCTCATACGTACTAATACTATCGCACGCCCCCCCCCCCCCCCCCGCCGCGGTGGTCTAGTGGCTAAGGTACTTGGCTGCTGACCCGCAGGTCGCGGGTTCGATTCCCGGCTGCGGCGGCTGCATTTCCGATGGAGGCGGAAATGTTGTAGGCCCGTGTGCTCAGATTTGGGTGCACGTTAAAGAACCCCAGGTGGTCGAAATTCCCGGAGTCCTCCACTACGGCGTCTCTCATAATCATATGGTGGTTTTGGGACGTTAAACCCAACATATCAATCAATCAACGGCCCCCGCCTGAACATCGCAGCCAGCAACCCTTGGGGCCGAAGAACTGCCGTCCAGAAAACCCACACAGCGTGACGCGCCGCCAATGAAAAATGGAAGCCCGACGCCCGCGTGTAACACTAACGGCGATGCTGCGCATGCGTTGTTGCAGATAAATCTGGTCGCGCCATTACGTCACGATATCGTTCGTTGCCGTCTTATCGGTGAACTCTGTGCGTGGCTTATGTCGTAGGTAGGAACTCGAAGAAAAGATGAGCAAAAGCTAAATCGACGGATGATTGCATGTCAGGCTCGGAATGTACTATAAAAGTTCCTAAACTGCAGGGCTGTGCGGTCGCTTTTACGAGTACACCAAAGATGAACAAAAGCACCGGATATTGCTTCTTTCGTATGGCGCCTTGTTTCTTTATATTCTATTTCTCTTATTTCATTCTTACAGGCATGTCTCATCTCAGCTCCAAGAGCTCGTTTTGTTGGCATTTCTCCCGCTACCAAGTTTTCTGCTCGAGCTCGAATCAATGCTCCACGATAACGTTCTTGGTCTATCAACTCTAGCTTCTGTCTAGTTATGTTTATCTCCTCTGAAAATGTACCGGCCTGAGTACATTCATCCGCAACTAACTGTCGCAAGTTTTCACGCAAACGCACTTCAAGTTCTTTTTCAGCATGTCTCAGGATACTGGCTCTCTCAAGTGCTTTCAGTTTAATGGTCTGTTTAAATATTTCCCACTTATTTCTCCAGGATTCAAGTATTCTATTTGCTAAGTCTTCTATGCCCTCTAGAAAAATCCGATTAAACTCTTCATCCTTTAGTAGCTTTACATTAAATTTCCAGAGGTCCCAAAAGAAATGTTTGTTATTCCTTTTATGTTTAACCATTGAGAATGAAACCAAACAATGATCACTAAACGTAACAGGTGTAACTCTGTTATCATGGCACGAAGGAATGATTTCGGAAGACACATATACTTTGTCAAGTCTAGCATGGCTTGAACGCTGAAAGTGGGTAAACATAACCCCTTTTCCACTGCAAAGACATTCACCCACGTCCTCTAGCTGAGCTTTCGCAACCATATCGATTAAAACGGCGTGCTTAAATCTCTGTATGGCCTGGAACTTGATTTATCTATACTCGAACAAACGCAGTTGAAATCCCCGGCCAAAATTAGTTTATGTTCACATTTCAAATACACATCAAGTTTTTCAAAAAACTCCTTTCGATCTTGAATCACAGTGGGTGCGTACACACAGATTACTCTCCATTTGTTTTCTTGGTAGGGATAAATCACATATAATAAAACGACTCGCCTCGCAGGTAGTTACAGACTCCACTTTCGCATTAAGGCTCTGCCGAATTAACAAGAGGCAACCTGCAGATGTACCCACCGCGTGACAAACGCACACATCAAACAGTCTCGTGAAAGGCTGCACCATTCGCTCAGCGTGCTCTTCACTCTCTACTTTAGTTTCCTGTACAGCGACGATGTCTAGATCTTGTTCTATAATCAGGCGGTAAAGCTGGTTTTGCCGCCGTTTGGAAGAAAGCCCACGTACATTTAGCGTCGCCAATCTAATCGTCGCCATCGTGATGAGAGAAAGCCGAGCGAAAGACGCTTACCTTATACCAACACCTAAACAACTGTCCGGCCGACGCTCAAGGCGTCGTCCCGTCGCCGCCGCGTGAAAGCGACGACGAACGCAGGCGGCCAGCACCCCGAGACTTTTTGGAGCCAGCCACTCGCCACTGCCCTTGATCTTCCTGGGTCAGACGCTGCTGGGACGCCGCGTCTCCCTCATTCAGGCGTCGCTTTACTGGCATAGCTTCAACTGTATCCATGTCCGAAGTAGCGTCGGACCTGATGACTGGTTCAGCCTTGTGCTGGGTTTCCATTTGAGTCGAACGCCGTTGCGTTGGAGTGCCCACAACCGTATTTTCATCTTTGTCTTGCTTAGGTGTCTCCATCTTTATCTCGCTGGTCGCCACTGCATGAGACGCCTCCACTCCTGCCTTCGACGTCGCGGCCCTCTCTGCTTCCTCTTCATCCATGAGCAATTCACTGTGGTCGGCATTTCTTGCTCGACTTGCTGCACTGGCATAGGAACGAGTACAGTCCGCCTGCTCATGCCCAAAAGCGCGACAACCAGCGCACCTGGGCACCCTGCAGTCGCAACGAATGTGTCCCGTGTTCCGGCAACGCAGGCACAGCGGTGCTCTTCCTGGCGCGACCACCAGTGCCATGCCGCTTCCGAGACGCATCAGGTAGGGTATGCGATCCATAGTAACGCCTTCTTTAAGTAGTAGCCGAACGAATCTTGTGGTTGACTCAACTCCTTCGAAGTCTTCGTCTCTCCACTTGTCGCTGATAACTTCTTTCACTTCACCGTACTCCCGGAAAGCACGCCGTACAGTCTCTGCATTCACGTCAAAGGCTACCCAATGCAACTTGAGACGCACCTCTTGCCTTTCTGGGTCGACGACGACGCAGGGCTGGTCTTTCACGGAGAGTAGGCCAGCGTCCAGAAGTGTCTTCTGGGCTCATCTGTCTTCATGTTAAGAAGCCAGACGTGCGACATCTGATACGCTCCTATGCCGCTTACCTCATGAATGATGCCTAGTTCCTTGAGCGGCTTTCGGAAGTCATTAATCCCGTACGGACGCGCTGCGATGTCGCAGTGCAGAACCAACGTGCGTCTGAGTCCTTCTCCTGTGGGCAGTGGTGGCAGAATTAAACGGTAGTCCTTGGGAAGTGATGTGCACGAGAAACCACGGCCAGCGTCGGCCGCTGTAACAGCTCTTGACGAGCCCGCCATCCTGCGTCCGCACGCGTCGGTGACCAGAAGCAGAATGTACTAGACAACCGCGGCGGGGCAATCGGTTGCAATAAGAAACCACGTTCCATTTCATCAACTCGTATACCTCAAGTCCGTCGTTGTATGTTCTGAAGGTTGCGGGTTCGATCCCAGCCTCGGCCAACATGGGGGCGAAACAGCACAGGCATGCGTACTGCGTGGCGTATGTGCGTGTAAAAAAAAGTTCAACTTTCCTGAGCCCTCCAATAAGACGTTTCTCAAGTTGCAGTTTTGACTCGTAAAACCAAAATTTAAGCTTCCTTAAAAGGTAATACTCTGGATATAGACAAGTTAAATAAAAAAGGCAGTGTTTCGCAACATATGTGCTTTGTAATGACTCTTAACAACTACAATAAACTGCATCAAGAAGAATGGTGTAGGATCCGTAGAGATCCCTTGTTCAAAATGTAATGCGCCTGTGCAGCAAGCTGTAATGTAGCGTTGACCGCATGATGTAATGTCCAGGAGTATACACATATAGTTTAGTATGCCAGATGATCAATTGAATGTGTCACTTGTGGTCCGTTTGTGTAGCCGGAGGGGGGGGGGGGCATTGCTTGATGTGGGGTTTAACGCCCCAAAACCACCATATGATTAAGAGAGACGCCGTAGTGGAGGGCTCCGGAAATTGCGACCACCTGGGGTTCATTAACGTGCACCCGAATCTGAGCACACGGGCCTACAGCATTTTCGCCGCGGTCGAAAATGCAGACGCCGCAGCCGGGATTCGATCCCGCGACATGCGGGTGAGCAGTCCAGTACCTTAGCCACTATATAGATCACCGCGGCGGGGCACACAATTGAGAGTACAATAATTATTGAGGAAATCGCGGATTAAAGTCCGCCTGTGGCTGATGTCCTTTCAAGGTGGACGATTGGGTAAGTAGGTGATACATGTCTGTTTGCCGTCCGTGT